GACACCACTATCCCTAACCTATAGCTCACTATTTCCTTTGCAAATCTTGCATCTAAAAATCTTCCCTTTCTATTTTGCTGACTAAACTAACCAGGGCAGTTTGGAAATCAGCATATGGCAACACCGTGTAGGAAATCCATCTCTGAAGCTAATCTCCATTCTCACGCACCATTATGCTAGCACTTAACCTCACAAGCTAAGAGCATGACACTTCAGAAATTCTTATTCTACTAACAACTTCCATCAGTCATTTAACAGACAGATGAGCTCTAATTTTACCTCAGTGCTTAACATAAAGATCAGCCCAGCAGAGATCAGTAAGACAAACTGCAGCAAGAACAGGAAATACTCTCCCACCATTTAAAAATCAGATATGGTCAGAAACTGAAGTGGCTGAAAAATAAAACATTCCAGCTTTACTATTTGATGCAGCTGTTGTAAAAGAGCATGAATACAGAAAACCACTTCCTGGACAATAACATCGCACACAACTACAGGTATTATAAAGTTGAAGGAAAGAATTCTGACAGCTGTCTCCTAAGTACTTCACTCCAGGTTTCTGACAGCAGAATATTGTTATTCTGTCGATAACAATATGCTCTAAAGATCACTGTAAGAAACCTGGACAAAACTCATTGACCACTGAATTGCCATGTAAACTGAACACCATAAACTGAATCCCGTAGAAGAGAGGAAAAAATAATAAAAAAATGATGAGGAGGCTAAAAAAAACTAGAAAAAGCAATAGGTGGAGCAGAATACACACATAATTGACTGCACAGAAGTCTTCTGCCTCCTATTAGATCTCAAGGCATTTCAAAATGTAATCAGAAATAATACAGTCCTACACTGGCCTTGTCTTCCAAGACTGCTAGTTTTTGTGTGCAGCTGTGAGAGGTGTGCAGAAAGAAATCAGGTAAATGTTAATTGTTTGCTTACAGTACCTAACAAGTACTCTAACAAGTTTTGCTTATCAAACTCTCTTTCCTGCTCTAAATTGACTGCAAAGAAAACATGTTACCAATTCACTTCAGTGTCAAAAGTAGCTGCAGACCAAGAGAGAATATTTATCCTAAAACTCCAGCCCTCTTGCAGGAGAGCTGTGCTTGTCAATCACAGGAATTAAGACAGTTCCCACTTCAGTGTAGCAGACTCTGGCCCTGTAGAAATAGATTTGCAGGACTTTAAAGTACACAGTCAGCTCAAGTATGTTAAATAAGCTAATAAAAAGTAAGCTTCTGGGAGAGTACGCTTTAAACAAGGAAAAAAAAAAAAAAACACCACAAAAAAACTAAACAATACAAACACACTTTTTTTCTTTTTCTTTTTTTTTTTTTTTTTTAACCATTTAACTGATGTTCATAATCTTGTCAAGAAAGAACGAATGTCTGAAATCAGCACTACCAAACATGCCAGCTCTCTTCCTTACACCCATCTTGTTTACCTTGGCATAGTATAGCCAAGAGGAAAGCAAGACTGGAGTGTGGGGGCTGTTCCCTCAAGGATTCCCTGCTGGGTGCAAGGAAAAGGAAAGTGACCATTTCAATGCAGAGGGAACAATGGAGGTACCTTCCACAGACAGACAAGGAGTAAACTGGAATAAGGAACTGGTGGGAAAGGAAGAGCTGAGGCTGGGACTAATTAAGCAAGGAGACTAGGAATTAAGCAAGGAGACTAAGAATGCTAACCACTAAAGGAGAAGAGACAGAGAGGAGAAAACACAAGAGGTACGGGGCGGAAGAAAACAGATCTATTGAGAAGGTATGACCTAGGATCATCCAAACAAAGAATAATGGGTAGAAAAGGGAGCAGAACCCAAAAATTTTGTGAGAAAGCTAGTGGCAGGGATGGAGTCTTTGTGGATTGAGTCAGTGGAAATACCAGGATTAAAAAAGAAGTAAGAGTAAAAGACTAGGAACAACTAGTGGGGAAGAACAGGAGGTCTGAAGGGTAGACATTAGGATTTCTTTGTCAATAATGTAGGGATTGAAATTAAATGTCTGAGAAGCAGAAATTGGAACTGAGAATGAAAATGGAAGTGGAGTAAGGAGCTTTGGATGGAAAAAGATAGGATTAGGACATGGACTTTCTGGAAAGAGTGAATAAAAGGGAAAAAGAGTATTCATCCACCAGAGTACCCTATCCTTTCAGTGTCTGACTCAGAATCCATGTTTTCAAGTCTCACCATTCAACAGCTGCCAGCAAACATCTGTGAAATCCACTGACCATGTCCCATTTCCTCTCCATGAGGATCTACACAGAAGATGACAACCTAGTGTTGCTATCAGTTATTCCATAAGGGTAAGTGGCACAGTTCTCTGCAGTGGATTTAAATGTTACAAATCTGTTGGTAAATCAACATAATACATAATCTTAATTTCAGTTGACTTTACAACCTTTGCAATGTTCTTATAACATAACATACAATATACACATAGGAATAATTACTCCGAATTGAAATGGGACCATCTGTAGCATGAAATGAAACATCTGCTTCACAGCAGCAGCACATGATATTTTAGGACAGGAAGAGACAATTATGGCATGTGAGCAGAGCAACAGGGGTAGTTAGGATAGCAATTTGTAATCCTGCAAACTGGAACTTGACCAGGATGTCAGAAGTTACCACACCCTTGCAGAAGTTGTTGTGTAGTCTGTAACAACTAAATGAAATGTAACTCTCATTAGAATAAAGAAAATCCAGATTAAATTAATGCCTTAATCACTTGAAAAATTATCACCAACTTCATGATAACTTTTCAAGGAATTTGTGGTTTGCGTATCATTCTACTGACAGCATGACTTCAGAGTCATGCCTGTTCCTCAGAGACACAAATTGCCAGCAGAATAATTAATCTGTGCTGCCGCTCTAACTGCTTATAGTGCTCCGGAAGGACCATGCAGTCACACTGGGCTCCAGGGGTTTTAATGGCACCCCACCCAGATGCAGCAGCCTGCACAGATGTGTTACTTTGAGAGCTGAGCTCTAAATTTGCCACTGAATAGTGACAAGTATCATCAGAGTAACGTATCCACTCTGGCAAAAGTGATCTGGCAGCCCCCAAAGCAAATACAAAGCAAATTACAGAGGCAACAAAACTAAATTATAAAGCCACATACTCCAGCAGGCTATACTGGCTCATTGCATTTAAAGGGATACTGCCCAATACATTTTTTTTTTCTTTAGAAAAAGGTATTTTTGAGATGAGCAGAAACTTGAAATAGTTTTTAAAACTATCAACCATTTTTTAAAAAAAATGTGAACATTGTCTCTGACTGCTGGAAGCCCAAATGACTAAGTCACCATATAAATAAAAACAGTTTGTAATAGAAGACCAAAAATGACCACTCTGAGGTGACTGTCTGAGCTCAGAGAAATGGAAAAAACAACAAAGATGAAAAGTAAATTCAGTTTTAATTTGAGATTTTCTACAACACAATATTTTTTAAAGTGACAGTGTCCCTTTAAGTAAGAATTATTTTGCTTTTCTGAAAGCCACCATCAGTGATTTTAAGGCACTGATATCTCTAAAGAGGCATTAGGAGGAGAAGGAAGGGGAGGATGGAGAGGTATAGTGGAAATAGCATTAGATGGGGAAAAGGATCTGTTAAGTGTCATTCAGCATCAACCCTTTTACAGCTCCTACTGTGGATCATACAGATATGGGCCAGCCCTAATAGGCATACTTAGGAAGAGAATTTCAGAGCCTCTCTGCAGAAGACACCCCAGGAAGGAATGCCAGAAGGACTGAGCAGTGAATGAAGCACAGGGTTAATGGAGGACTATCACACCAAAATTACCACAGGGGAACTGGGCAACAAATTAGGGCTACTAAGGAGAAAAAGTCTTCCATTTTGAAACTCGAGCCCATGTGGATATTCTTAATGAATGGCCTGTTGTGTCAGGACAATTTGGAGTCATTCCCAACAGCTGGCTACAGATTTTTCTCCTCCTCCTGGAGGAGAAGACAAATGAAATATGAGACTCAGATGACAATGCAACCTAGCAGAGTTTGCCTTCTCTTGGATACACTGACAGATTTGCTCGTTTTAGAAGAATAGATTTGGTGTGACTAAATGAGCAAAGGGAATTTCAATTTTCAAGATGGACAAATGCTAAACAAATGCCATTTATAAACCAAAAGTTATCCACTTACTAAGGGATTCAGGAAGTAGCTTTAATTTAAGAAATGCAGAATGACAGCACAGAGTGATGACATCATTACAGTCATCAAGTGAGGGAAAAAAATGGGCTAAAGGCTCACATGTTTGGCACTTAAATGGGATTTAAAAAAAAAAAAACACAACAAAAACACAAAACACAACAACATAGCAAGAAGCTTATTAGACGTGTAATGATGCAAACTGAGCTGACTGGAAACTGGTAATAGATTGCACCAAAACTGACTGGAACTCTACCTTTAGATTATCTCCTAACCCTGTGATAAGACAAAACAGGAACGAAGAGGTATCTGTCATCTACAACTGTTTCCCAAGTCCCTTGAGGAAGCATTTTGTTAGATCATCAAAATACTCTTTTCTCTGGAAGAATCAAACGAGCCTCAGAAGGGGAAGAGGGAGGCAATGGCATAACTAATCCTTTAGGGCGCTGTTAGCTCCTGGGAGATGGTCAGTTCTGCAGTTCCCATTGTATTAGCATATTTTTCTGAAGAGTATTTGGATGGTAGAATTGGACTTGGCAAAGGAGAAGCAAAATCCAGAATGGCTTTCTACTTCCAGCATGGAAGGTGGCTGGAGTGAAAACTGTGAATACATTTTGAAATAATTAACACTGTGGAAAACAGAAGAGGGAGCCTTACACATGGCTTGTGGAATATGCCAGGATCTCCTCTTCCTGAGCTGCAAAAGGGGTTCTGCCAGTCATGTGCAAGGACTTTTTCTTCTTGTTTGTGAGCCAAGGATGGGAGAAGTAGGTAAAGGGAGGGGTGGGAAGGAGTGTCAGCAGGGTTAGTGTCAGCGAGAGGTTCAGCTATACATACCACCCAGATGCAAGTCGATGAGGTCACTGTAATAAGACTCTCCCCAATAGTCTATAACAAGGAATTGGTGAAGACAGTTATTGAATCAGATACCCACCCTAGCCCCACACAATCAAAGCAATATATGAGAAAGACATACAGACAGAAACAAAAAAGACTAACAACAAGAAACATGCAGCCTATATACGTTTGCACATACATAGAATATATATATATATAATTATGTGTCTCATTTATCCATATATGTACACATACACACATATATGTATGTATCACAAACATACACATACACATATATATATGTGTCACAAACATGTTGGGAAGATGAGGAGAAAATTCCCAGCAGGCAGGCAAGGGCTTCCACGGAGAAAAATCAAGAGGTCTACACACAGACACTTCATGTATTTCAGTCTTGACACTGAAGTCTTTCCTGTTCTTGTAGACAAAAGCAGAGCTATTCTTGTTGCTTTCATGCTGAGCAACATCAGAAGGAAAGACTAATTTCTTAGGTAAGCTGCAGGACAGGTATAAGCATTGATTTCTTGGCATTGAGTGAGTGGAGGATGCGTGTGTATAGCAAACAAGTAAAAGGCACTGAGTGCTGACACAAATGACAAATACCTAAGTGTGGGAAGATGGATTTCTGCTAATGACACAGTACCTGTGTCAGAGAAGAACCTCCATTTGTGTGCGTGAAACAGACATGCATGTCCACAGCTGCTAGAGACAGGTACACCACGAGTCTAGCACTGTATAATTATTCTTTAGGGAAGAGACACACAGGAGTACAGAGAGCACTGTTTCTCACTGCATATGATTCACTTGATGAAAAGAGGTTGCTCTTAAATTTTTCAGTATTGATCTGACACTAAAAGACATTTTCCTAGCTCTTAAAAATGACTATCAAAGTTCATAAAGGAGAATAATGGAGAAGAAGAAAAAGGTTCATGAAATTTCAGAGTTGACATATTTTTTTAAGGTAATAATTGAAAAAGTGAAAAACCCACACCGGAAAACAGAAGTCATAATCATGTCCAGACAGGCGAATGCACTATAATACATGTACAAAGCACCGTTACATTAATAGTGATCCCATTCTTGGGACACTGCAGAAAAATAGGAAAATTCTTCACTGAGATTATCTTTCTTTACCTTGGCAGTGAAATGCCACTGATGTAAAGAAAGTTGTTGTTTGTTTGTTTGTTTTTTTAAAAAAGAAAGAAGAAGAAAAGGGATGACAAAAACTTAGAACACCTTGCATATGTTAAACTTGCCACCTTAAATAGTTTATATTCCAGATCACTCATCCTTACTATAAATGTAACTGCCAAAGGGTGAGATCTTCAAAGACATTAACAGACAACATACTAAGGCAATTACAAAATCATAGGGTGTGAGACTATTTTCTGAATCAGAAACTAAATGTTAGATTGAGCATTCAGCTCTTTGAGGAACAGAAGGCCAACTGCACCTTCTCCAAGGCTAAGCCAAATTAAAAAAGAAAAGAAGTTATAGAGGAAGGTGTGATTATCTTGTCAAAATTGAAGTCAGCAATGAACTCCAAAATGTTTCTGAGTGTGATTAGTTGAACAGCTAGTATCACCATATTCCAGCTTGAAAGCTATCAGATAAGGACTGACATTCCTGGAAAGAGTACTGAGCTATTTGTACCTATTGCTAGGATCCAACTTAACTGTAGTCTCACAAGACACTGCTGTGAAGAATTTGACTATCTGCTCAGGATAAGCCACTTGGCCAAAACATACTAAGGTTGAAACAAAATGGATGGAAAATAGAAGAGAAAAAAAAAAAGTAAACAAATTCTTACCCACAGTACCTTTTTTTGTTCTTACCAGTCCAACTGAAAGATATATTTTTGTAAAAAGGGGAAAAGGTCCAGAGGTCAGAGATATGAAAAACTGAAGTTGATGGAAGACTGCTAAATAAAGAACTGAAATGTTTTACTGAGAGAAAAGGTGACTAACAGTCAACTTGATAAAAGATGATAAATGACATTGAAAAGTTGTTCAGATGGCCTTGTCTATCTGTTTCTACAATAGAAAAAGAAAAGAATCATTACAAAATACAAAATCATGTTTCTTCTGTCAGGAATCTCAAACATCTAGTAGTAAGAAACTACTAATACTGCAAGAAATTTCATATTTAAATGCATAAGATTGGTTCTTTCCCTACAGGGAGGGAAGCCAAATAACTTATTCATTACAGAGCCCAATATCATCTCCAAGAACAGTTAATACTGGTTGGTCTCTATGGGACAGCCATTACTTTGATCCTGCATTGCAATCCTTCTCCTTCACGTGGACAGAGAACGTGCATGGGACACACAATTCCCACCCTCTCCTCTTTCTTCCCCTTGTACAAGCTTATTAAAAGGAATATATATATATATATATATATATATATATATATATATATATATATATATTCAGATGAAAACATTGCCCTTCCCATGTTTTAGATTTTGTTTATACAGTTTAATTAGGGAAGAATTGATCAGGGATAAGAGCATTACTCCGCACCTTCACAAAGGATCCTGCTGAACGCAGTGGTCTCTGTTAGGTGAGTATCTTAAAACAATGCAGATGAGAAGAAAATTATGATGCCCTCCTGAACAATTAATGGATAATGGAGGCAGAAATTAACAGTACTTATGGAATGTGATGTCACAGACTAGAAAATAAGAAGAAATTTGGTTATTTTATTGCAAACACATGTAAAAAGTCTGTGCAAGATTAGCTAGAGAGGTAAAGAATGGTGTTCATTTTTAATCTTATGTTTCAGTCAACATAGGTTATAACATGTCTTTTTCTTTTTTTCCCCAACAGAATGTGTTTCTTGTTAATCCCCGGAAATAACTGCAAGAGTTGGAGCTTGTGATTTCTTTATGATGACGTTAAGCTTCTGTAAATAGAAGCAAAACATACCCTATGGGCTTCCTGAAGAAAAGAGATTAATTTTTGCAATACGACCTACAATTTAATAATTCCGCTAAAAAAATCACAAATATACAATCTCGTCTAAGACTGCTTTATTTTGGGAGAGCTGGGAGTGAGATGTTATATAAGGGTTTAAGTCTGCAGCCTTCCATACAAAATACCAACTCTTACTCTTGGTCATATTTTGCCCTTTCTGGACTTTTTTTAGATTATTGTGAAGAATGTTCTCTCAGCTGCTAAGATTTCCCACTTGTGCTGACATGTATTACTTACATGAATGTCATTTAGCAGCTGACTAATGAAGATGGAGTTCCAGATGGAAAGAAGAAAAACGAAACAAAGAATTAGAAATACGCAGTGGTGTTAGTAAGTGCAGTAACTGGCAGGCCAGCCATCAGAGTGGGGCTACAGAGAAATACACAGTATAAGGAAGGAGGCACCACCACAAAGAGTTGTTGCACAAGGTTACTTTTTGAACCCACAAATTAAAAAAAAAAAAAAAGCCAGTCAGACCACAAAACCACTGAAGTCATCAAGATCGTTTTGCACTCGTGTAGAACTTAATTGCTTTGGTAACCATTCAGACCTGCTGCTTTGGCACGTCTTTGTGGAGCACCAAGCACAAACAAACTTGGCGGAGTAGTAACCAGTGGGATGTCTCAAGAGACATTTTCTCTGGTGAACCTTCACTGCTTAATCTAGTACCATCTTCACAGGCATAGTGGGCACTCTTCAATCCAAGCAACAAGACAAAGCATTTTTCCAGTACCTGTTCCACTCTTACCATTTCTGATTTCTGATCCTTGTAATCAGGTACATAATCCTGGTCTTGTCAGATATATGCATACTGCATTTGCCTGTTGGATATTTGACTCCGTGAAAGTAAGGATTCTTTTTTTTCCAGATTATTATACTACTATCAGCATTACCTCAACCAAGTACTCCTCCACTCATGTTTTGCCAGATCAGGTGAAACTCATTCAGTATAAATTCAAGTACACACAGCATTCCTTTAACAGCTTGGCATGGATACCTTTCAGTACACGTTTGCATTTCTGCTCTGCACAACTTTGTCAAAAGTTGCCAGTGTGCTGGGCTGTGCAGTGAGGAAGATGTTCTGTGATGGTCCCTTGTAAGGACACTGCCTTGATAATCCAACACAATAGAGAAAGCACACACAATTTTGCAATTACTTTCTGAATGTACAAACAGGGTTCTCCTACTGTGACAGCTTTACGTGAATTGCAGCTAGGAAACCTCTGCAGTTTTCTAGCTGTAATATCCAGTAATATGCAGAAATAGAAATCCGCTACTAATAGCCAGAGGATTACCTCCTGAGCCTCAGGCAAAGACAAGTGAACTAAGTCTCTGCCATTAGGTAAGCCCCAAGATTAGAAGAAATGTGAGAACAACACGGTCTCAGAAAGATAGAAGAAAAGGGAGAATAGATTCACATTGGACTCTAATTCTAGGCTATAATGGTCCAATTACCTCTAAAATCCAAGCAGCTATGGACTACTGCACAAGCATTTGATAAGAACACATTAAAAAGCAAACCAAGCTCTGCTGGATACCTGCTTCTCCCCGAAGGGCTTTCTCCACAGCAACCCCTCTCTCCTCCAGTTGTCTCTGCTTCTCTTCTACTTGTTCAAGCTGCCGCTGGATGATCTGTTCAGGAAAGAAGGGAGTAGAACCTCACCAACAGTGATTCTGCTCTATCAGCAGCACTTACCTAGCACTAAGTGACTTCGGCCAAATCAGCCTTTTGAAAAAGTATTTACATTCAACAATATACTGCTTTGAAAGCTAGCATCACAGTCCCCTCCAGTGAGAACACCCTCACACCCTGCATCCTAGCTTTTTGTTTTACAGATACCTGGATGCTCACTTATTTGTTACAACTGGAATCCCGTTTCTAAACCATAACGTGAAAGGTGTTGCCATTCAGTCTGCTGATCCCCTAACTTGAATTTTAAACAAATTCCATCTCCCACAGACAGTGCCAGCAGATTCTCTAGTGATTAAAGGTTAATTTGGTAACACTGCACCCACTAGCATAATTTAGCAAAGCAACCATTGGCGCAGACTCATCAGGTATTATCCTGCTACCACTGCTTGATTCAGTGAATGGTACCACACTCATTTCCTAGTAGGAAGGTGCTATGGTCATTACTTGTCTTTTTTTTCATTGCAAAACTATTATGACAAGTTTCAGTAATTCTTCCCATGTCTGTGACATGGTACCAAATTTGACAGACAGAGTAGGAGAAGAGGTAATTGTAGAAACAGGAAAGTTCTGGCTCTGGTTCCTCTTCTGATATACTCAGAGGAGTGTCAGGATCATGGTGCTTTCATAGGGAGTTAATTTCCTGCCATGAGAAGAAGACTGTGAGATACTACCTGAGCTCTATGTAACCTCTTTAGTTCTTCTTGCTTGGCTTGTCTACGAGCAGCCTTCTGTACTCGCCGAGTCAGCTTAGCATTTAGTTCTTCTTCTGTGTAGGCTCTCTAAAGGAAGAAAAAAACAGATTTTATTTCCATGCCCAGAGGTACAGGGGGAGGGAAAGCCATTTTCTCTTCCAATATTTCAGAAGGGAGGTGTTCTGTCTTTGCCATGACTGTGACAAAAATCAAGCTTCTGTAAGCAAAGGTGTTCACAGTGCAGTGAGCAAAAATTTCAGGGTCAAATCAGGAGTGAAGAAGCATATAAGCCAACTGCAAAGCTGTGATTTTCTATAATGTCCCATTTCTGTCTACCATTGCTATATGGAACCTCTCCACAAAGATCAAATACATTTTTAATCTATTTCTCAATTGATTTAGACTAATGAACTTAGTTAAATCATTAAGACTACCATATAAGTGAGTCACCTTGATTTCATTTTAGAAAAGGGTAAAGGCATGTCTACAAGAACAGTTACAGCAGTATAAGCTAAGAAATTAATATAGACTATTGTAGCTACATAGGTATTCCACTCTTCCCATATGAAATATTTTATTCTGGAGCAAGAACATCTGTATTTGAGAGTTATGCTGATATAAGTGGTAATGACTGCGTGTGCAAATTTGTGCAATTTTTCTCTGAATCAAGAAGTCAAAAATACATTTGAAAGCAGAATGATATTCTGGTGTGAGAGGGGAAATCCCATCTCAAGAACCATGCCACAAAACTGTCTGGTATAAAACAGAGCAAACAAATCTCTTAAAAAAAAAACTAGAATGTTACAACACCAGAAGCCATTCAATAGGAGAAATCCTGTGTTTACAGAGATAGAAAGGTATTTCTTCCTCTTCTTTTCTCTCAAGAAAACTAGTTTAAAAATACATAAATATAATTTTTTAACTTTACTGAAATGAAGTTTAGTACCTTTTCACATAATCGGTTTGTTGTGTTGTAATCTAAGGTGGGCTTCCTTTCATATATTTCAAGAGCATCCAAGGAACTTCACAATTGCATTAAACAAACTATACTGAAGAGAAGAACTCTCTTCTCTTCCCACATACATGTATGTGGTCTTTATGGGACAGCTGGACACAGACGTCTTCCATTTCTGGTGAGATCTCCATTGATAGCCATGTTTAAGGACAAAACATTAAGACAGACCACCCTATAAATTTCCTTTATCTAGTTATTGCACTACCACACTGATCACTCGATCTCTGTTTTATTGTTCTTAGTGAGTAGAGGTTTAAAACATAGGACCACGTCTCTACTAAAAATTCCTAAGAGAGGTGATCAGCAAGCACTACTGTTAGAGCTCCAAGAAGTTAAATCTTTGCTTTCTCTTTTTTAACACAAGATCCACAATGATATCCAAATCAGAAGGAAAAGTCACACAGGGTGTGAATTTCCTACCCCCCTTAACACTGGTGTGATTGTGAACACAGGACAATAACAATTTCAGAAAGCAGCAGCATTCTCAAAATAGAAATGTAATTTCTATCTTGATTTTAGCTTGATACAAAATTTTACTGAGATTTCAGTAAACCCAAGAATTTTGAAAGAAAGCATGAAAATTCACTTAAACTCGTGTTCTGAGTATTAAAAATAAAACAAAACACATTCACCTTTAATAGCCTAGAAACCCAATTTGTTCTGAAGCTCGAAGATCACCCACATCACTGTACAGTGCTGCACTGCTATGCACTGGTAGTTGCATGCATTCTAACAAGTCAGACAATTTGGAGCTCAATGCATTTTTGGTAGATGACTTCTACAAAGATTTTTCTGCCCATGTCTGCTAACATCTCACGCATGCACAGTCGATGTTTGTGATGTTAGTGTACATGTGACGGGGAGCTATGGATTTGATGGGTTAATACAGGGACATACATGCAACAATGGCCAACTAGTGGGAATGGAGACACTACCTTTGACGAATATGATCTCTTGAATGCCAAGGCGTGTGGTACATAAATCGACTTTAAAGGGGGAATGGTAAAGGAAAAAAATAAAAATAAAAAACATACAAAATGAAGCAAAATCAGTTCAACATTGAAAACAGATGCACAGTAAAAAAAAAAAAAAAAAAAAAAAAAAAAGACAAAGCTGTTTTTAAATGCAATGTAGAATTTTGCAAATGCTGAACGTGGCCCAGACTGGTTAAGCACAATGGAACTTCTGTCCACAAAATCAAGTTTCTAGCACTCATCCCAAAGGCAATTAGCTTTGGCAGCCTCTTTCAAGATGCAGTCAACCTGAAAATACGTTATTCTAGAGGAATTCTTTGGCCTTTATCCACCTATGGATTTAATGTCTGCTGAGGAAGTAAGCAAGCATACATACATACACACACAAAGTTTCGGCTCATGATCTGGAATAATGGCTTGTTTGCTGGGGGATCTTTGGTCTGAACCTGCTCAGTCATGTTACTCTGTCATGCAACTTTCCATTCAGACTTTTTCACAACCTCTTCTGGAAGCTGTGTTTATTTCATGGTTTTAAATAATCTCTACTTCATCGAAATAATTTTCCTCATTGCTTTCTGACTGGAGAAAAACCAATTTGGGCTCAGAGTGGGTTACATGTCCTACACTAGGGGAATCTCACTGTCTAAGAGAGAACCTCCAGAGAGCCTGAGGAGCTAAAATTAGGAGAAGAAAAAAAAAGAGGGGAAGAAATAGAGAGAAAACATGAGATGTTCATGAGGAGAGGAGGAGAGGAGATGACTACTACCTTCTCTACTCAAGAACATTATAAATTACATTGTACCCAAAAATAAGGCAAGTAAACTACCTAGGGTCTGTGAGAGAGGTGAATTTCCCTTGAGCCATGAAGTACAGAGGGCACTGTGCCATTCTGGGCAAACAGCCAGCATTTTGCATTTTCACATTCAATTAACTAAAAACAGTCACAAATGAAAAGCCATAGAACAACTTAAGCACATAGGCAAACACCAGTAAAAAACAAACTACCTGTGGTAGTAAAACACAGCTGATCACAGTATCACAACTGCACAGCAACAGTGACAAACACAAGCACAGTGACACACACCCACACACAAGGAACCCACAGGGCATTTGCATTAGGAATTCATTACAGGATACTCCTCTTGAAAGGCACTACACTAACAGCACGGAAGTAATTCACTGCTGATCACAAAGAACAGGCTAAACAGAGCAAGCTGTCTGGGAAGCAAGCTCACTATAATAACTGAAAAAGCAGCACAAGCAAAATTTCAATTTAGTGAAGGGGTTCACATAAAAGTTATGCTCCACTGAAGAAGTAGATTTTTACCCACAATAAGTAGCGGGTCGTTTCTAACTTAGAAAACATAACATTCCCACCCCAAATCTGTACAGATATAGTTTTAACAGTCCCAAAGTTCAGTTTCATTTCTTCTGACAGCAACGCATTCCAGCGTTTGCATGGATGTTTTACATCCTTTGACAGGATGCAGAAAAATTAGGCAAGTAGAGTTCTCGTATTTATTCACTCTAAATAAATTTATACTTAAAAAATATTCCTTTAGAAAACAGGCAGATGCTGAGCACAGAAATTCTTACTATAAGTTCAGCAACAGCAAAGAGGAGAAAATGAGATGCTACTGACATATATCCTTGGCAAAACTGGTAAGATATTTTGAGTATTAGGATTCTAGCCATCTGACAGCCATCCCCATAAAGCCTAGTGATGATATCTTTTTCTGCAAAAAACATTTTAAATGAAAGTAGCTCAGCACAGGAAAAAAAAAAAAAAAGGCAATACCCAAGGCATCATCAAGGCATACCCCAGTCTGAAAACAGGCATGGGCCTTACTGAAGCCTTGCTTCCTCCTGAGGGAGCACAGAAGGCAGAACAGTAGCTCTGTAACTCTTATTTGAACCCCCTGTATTGCACTTCTGTTCTTTGCTAGCCACGGGTACCTCATTCTTCTGCATCTCTTGGAAAATGCAGAATTTCTCATGAAACGCCTTGAGGGCATGCAAGGAAGAATGAAAGGGGGAGAGAAAAAGGGAATCAAATAAAACAAAATAATCTTCCTCTCAGATCAACTAGAGAGAAAGAGAGAGAGACTGAAAGACAGGTAAGTAAATACAGAAAATTCCTACTTATTTCATCAATTTCTTCTACCAGTCTAAGATTTCTTAGTTTTACTAATTCTTTCACTGCATGTACATAGAAAGCCTTTCCTATGACATTTCCATTTGCAGTACTTCCAATACCTTTGCCATATGAGAAAAGTATCAACTAGATCCTGCTATTTGAGACTGATTTCTGTAACACTGCATGAAAGGTTTAAGACAGGAGGTACAGGCCACTGTGTTCATGACACTACCCTCTGAGATAATTCTCTTCTTCCTGAGATTTTTAACACATGGACCAGGCACCACCAGAAAAGGGCAGGAAGAACCAATTTTTCACTCTTCAGGACTAGAAAGGCCTTAGCATTCTGTGGGGCCAATGAAATCTGAAGTTATTCCTCTAAACCTTGCCAAGTCTGCCTAGCAGAGCTTAGAAGCTATTAAGAATGGAAGAAGTAGAGCAGATCCTTATATTTTCTACCAGTAGTGGAACAGTGCCATTCTAAAAATGAAATAAGTAACATAAAAGCATCTAATTTTGGCACTTGGCTCTCATTTTTTCCACATTGCAAAAATGTATTTTTCTCTCTGGGCTTTTATGAGGATGTACTGGTGTCTCCTCTGTTCTCTTCAGTAACTTCCTTAAAGCACCACTTAAAGTGAAACTATTTTGGCTAGAAAGCCGTTGATATATCTTACACCATCACATCACTGCACTAGCTAAGGAAGGTCACTCAGAAATAAGAAAAAAACTTCCTCAGAAGAAGCAGAGTTCACAACAGACCACAATGGAATGAAAACACCAGGCTAAGAGCAATTCATATATACTGGGATTTCATAAATAATCACTACATATTTCATCTTCACATTTGTTATCTTCAAAACAGACATATGGAAACACTCAGGAACTACCAAGAAATCCTCAAACAAAACAGGGTCAAAGTGAGAGAGACGAGTGATTTGTCCTCTAAGAGGAGAAGGTACTAATTCAGACTGTACAAATTCTCTTCTCCCAGGAAAAATATGGCACCCTGCATAAGTTGCAAACTGCAACCTACAGCTTACCTTTTGGTGGACAACCTGTCTTGACTGTGCTCTCGAGGCATGAACAAAGTATATGCCTGCCTGCAGTTTGCTTGGAATTCTACCACGTAAGTCTATCAAAGAGGCTGGTAAAACAATGTTTTAAAATTGGACCCTTAAAACAAGCGAGGGCTATCTCACTGTTACTTTTTTGCAACAACATTAGAGCTAGTGAAAGTACTTTTCTGACACTAAATTTTTGTTTTCCATGGGTTATTGGCATGCTCGTAACAGGGATAAAATGCACTATTCACACTGATACTCAGTTGTAAAGTAATGTCATAGTGAGACAGCAGATCCTTCATCAATAACAGTAGGGAGTAGCTTGTAATTGTGTAAACAAGTAAAACAACTTTTTTGGGGGTAGAACAGCTGGTCAGCTTCCATGAAAGCCTGCTCCACAAAAGAAACAGTAAGGATGACAAGTAATCACACATCCCTGTAAAATGCATTCTCCCCCCTGCCTACCTCTCGCTTGGATTTCTGTGAGGAGCGTTCCAGAATATCGTCACTGGAGAGGTCAGAGTCCTCCGAAAAACTCAGGTGCCGACGGAGCTGCAAATCTGAGGAGCCAGGAATAAAAAGGGGAAGTTAGAAAAACAGTGACACTACAACAATGCATTTCTCTCCATAAACATTTCAGGATTCGGTAAGCTGTCTGACTCAACTTCAAAAATGCAGAGTTGTAAGCAGTCTTGGCTGCTTTGCCTAGGATTATGTGTTTGTCAGAAGAGCACTGCCCCACAGAATGATCGATATTAGTTGGAAGCTTCATTCTACGTATGCATCACTTTCTGCAAAGAGTGTTAAAAGGTCATGGCCACAATTCTCCTTTTCTGCTCTATCAATGCTCTTATGAAAGATACACCATTTGGAGGATAGCAGCAGGCACTATTTTGGCTATTTTTACAAGGCTGGAGAAATGTAATGTGTTTTGTTTTCATTATGTTTATGGCTAACTTATTTGCTGTATCACATGTAGCCATTAAACATCCCTGTCTACACCTGATGGCATGTGGGACATACACGAGACCACAGAATCCACACACTGAGATCAGCAGACCGTTATCAGATCACTGAGAACACAGAAGTGACTGCCTCTCTGCAGTCTTCAGTATCCACAGAACCAGGTTGAAATAAACAGACCACCCACAAAAAACTGAGGATCAGATTTAAAACAGAGATGAAATGTCACAAGTAACTGACTCCAGCAAATGGTGCCTATTTTTCAAATCATCCGAAGGCAGAAAATGGACATGCCTTGTGCTTATCTAGAGTGAAGCTTCCATTTAAGGATCCTTTTTTTGTTTTCATTGGTATATCAACTAATTCTGTAAATACACAAAAACATACAATTCTAGCTGCTTTACTTATTCCGATTTTCTCATTTGACAATGAGGATCAGTGTCATTCTGCACAATGTTACACAGCCAAATTCTTTCAAGGATACCCAGCTGTATCACGTATCTATTATACCTGCAGCTGTAACCAATGCAGAAGCTTTGTGCTTGCCAGAATCCACAGTAGCACTACTTGAGGGAGTACTTGGGCAGGATTTGTCGTCAGCCTTTTTCTTCTTGTCTTTCTTATACCCAGAGAAAACAGATTTCCATAAAGACCTAGATTTTGTTGTTTCCTCTGTCCCACCACTAGATTTGTCAGAAAGCCTGCTGTCATTTTTGGATTTCTTCTCCTTTTTGTTCTTACGAGGGGAGAAAAGAGAAGTTCTTTTCTTACTCTTCCCACTGGAGCCCTCTGAAGAGGTGACAGAACCTTCAGGTCCAGCCACATCAGCAGCAGGAGTGGAGAACTTCTCACTAGCAGCATCATGCTTGAGCATGGACCCCTCTGCAATTTTCATGGCCAAATGTTTTGGAGAGTCATAAAACAACTCTTTGGTCTTCAAAGGCATAGAAGATGCCTTTCGTGACCTTGTGGCCCCAGCAGCAGCTGCAGCCATCTCCATATCTTTCATCTTACATAACTGTTTAGCCATGGCATCACGTAGTGCTTGGCTCTTGACAGACTTCTCTCTGGCTCTCATTCTTTCTTCAGCAAGCTCCTTGGCCTCTGCAGAAATTTCAGGCAATGCTCTCTTCTTTTGGTTAACCCCTCCTTCCAGAGAGGGCAGACCACCATTTTCTTTGACCAGTGGCAAAACAAGTGGTTTCTCTGGCCTTGGCCTACTCGTAGGAGGTGTATAGAACTTCTCGTTAAGGCTTGTGTCCTCTGTCCTGTCATCATATGTGTCCTCTACATCATCAGCAAATGGAATCTCATCCACACTTTCTGCAAAAGACTTCCTCACGTCATCTTTTTTGGCCTGGGTGGACTCTTTGACAGCAGAGGTTGGCTCATGGCGCGGGGCAACAGGAGGTGTTGATGCTGGTGTTGGAGGTGACTTGGATTCGGCCTCGTTCTGCCAAAGTGCTTGATGCCTCTTTCTACGCAAAGTGGCAGGTTCTTCATTTTGAGGAGGTGGTGGTGGTGGACTTGATGGAGGAGTAAGCATGGTAGAGTCAGAAGTGTTGAAGCTCTGGCTAGCCAAAGTTCTCATGTTAGATGAGCTCTCCTGGAGGCCAAGTCCTGAACTGCTAGATACATCTCTCTTTACTTCATTGGAACTCCTCAGTTCTTTTTCTGATGGAGATTTTGGAGTGAGCAGAGAAATCTGCTCATTTTCTAACTTGGACAGTCCCTGCCTTCTTGGGGCAGGCTGGGGCTTCACAAGATGCATCCTTTCATCCCCTGAAACACTCTCGCTATTAAAAGCCTTCAGGGGAGTTGTCTCAAGGGCAGGTACAGCAAAGTTTGACTCTGAGCGTTTGTTTCTGTCTACTGGGGTGAGTCCTAAGCTTCTCCGGATTTCAGCACTCTTCATCCAGAACTCTTCCACGAGGTTACTACGTTTCAGAGCTTCTTCTGCAGTAGTAGGGCTCCCCAGTTTTTCCACTTCACTATCCTGACTCCTAAGAACCAGTTTGGCTAGAGGAGTAGATGTTAAGGCTGGGACAGGCTGGAAACACACTGGAGGTTCTGCTGGGGATGGAATAGAGGTTTCAGAAGAAGGCAAAGGCTGGGAACAGATAGGTGTTTGAGAAGATGTTGGGGATGAAGTTTGTGTTGGTGCTGCTGGTTGAGATTCTGCTGGAGATGTAGGTGCAATGGCATCTGGTGATGCAGCTGGCTGCGATAACACTGGAGAGAGTGGCACCAAAGGGCTTTTAGCTTTCCTGTCTTTGGGAGTTTCATCTTTTGGTCCTTCCTCAAGAAGGAAAGGCTCAGGAAAGAAGCGTGCCTCTGGAGATTTTATTGCACAGGATACCGCAGCCAGGGGATCTGTTACATTCTACAAAATACAAATAAAGGAAATATTAATAGTCACTGGGCATGTTAGAATGCTGTTCCATTTTTTACTGCTACACCACCCAAGTATCAAAATATGAAGAAAAGCCAAACACCTATGACATCTCACTCCCAGGCCTAGAATGTCACTTAGGATTCCTCCTCAGTAATGGATTGTTTTTCTGTCCCATTGTATAAACAGTCTTTTGTACATGACAACAAAGCAAATTTAATGTTTGGAAGGAAAACTGCGCTAAATTCCAGAAATCCATTTCAGTCTTTTCCTGCTCTCCCTTTCAATATCCAACTCTGTATATAGTGGTGGTCCCTCATCTCAGATAGATTTCATTCCAGTCTCTCAAGCTCATAACAACCCAGCACTTCCTGCTGGCTAGCATCTGCCAGAATGTTGTCTTAAAGCAAGTGGTGCTTTCTCTTTTAAGAGCAAATTAGGCTGCAATTCCCTTGACCTTTAATGATCTGAGAAGTCTTGTCTTTTACCTCCTATATGGAGACTGCCACATCACTCAGTAGCACAATTCTTAGTTTTAATATCTATGCCTTTGGCACAGGACTCCTCTTACTAAGTTCTGGCATTATCTTTCCAATCACATCTTTCACACCAACATTCTTTTGCATGCTGGAAGTTTGGTTTAACTGATACATGATCATTAGAGCACAAACCTCTCTGTGTGCTTGTATGATATATTAAACACCCAGGTCTTAAGTACTGCATTTAGGCACTGTCCTGGTATGAAGAATAATTTTGTCTAACAGAATCTTTATACAGGCCTCAAAAAAAAAAATCACCCTCAAATTTCCTCAAATTTAATAAAAATAGAATGTTGTCAGCAATTGATGTCAGGAAACTGGCCCTATCCTATAATGTGTCCATTGTACAAGTAAACTGGTATATGACAAAACTCTTTAGGAAAGTCTAATCACTTAACAATTCTTTAAAAACAAACACTGGGGGGGGGGGAATATTTGAATTAAAAAACTCAAGAGTCATGTATTTCCATTCTTACATCCTATTAGCTGGAAACACCACAGTAAGTTTGCATGCTGACTCCAGGGCTGACACTACATCAGTAAATAACTTAGCTTTCTTGAGCTAAAATATGTTTCTACTCTAGAATAAACAAGCACTGCCTTGGTTACTACTAAGTAAGTAATACAATTATAATTTTGAATTTCAGCTGTACAGAATCTGATTTTGGTACAGAAAGGATATTAAAACCAGGATAAACAGGAAATACCTTACTTATGACTCCCTTCATGCATTATATATATCTCTTGTTAACTGTGCATTGAATTAAAATATCCTATAATTCTTTTTTGATTTTGTGATGGGAACTTGTGTGACTGTGATAGAGCCACCACTCTCTGAAAGTAGGAAAGAAGACTTAAGTCTAAATAAAGTCAAATTTCATGAAGATCAGCATCAATTATAGAGACAGGAAAGCAGAAAAGAGCACTGCTGTCATTTCTCAGTAGTTTATCCAACTCTTCTATTGAACTTCAGGTATTAAATAGAAAACTTGAAGGATTCTTTTTCTCTTTCTTACCTCTACTTGTTTTGCTTTGGGACTATCTGCTGGAGACAGAGGAAGAACGTTGTCACTAGCTGACTGGATAGGGATGGGTGGCTTGCATGGATCTACAGAAAGCAAAAATATGTTCAACAAAGCAAATGAGACTGCTAATATTCTAATTTTTTAATGTTACACACAGCTAGAAATGACAAAGTCCTCAGCTTCTTACAAATTCTAGACTGGACATCTGGAACCTAGTCAAAACTTTGTAAACTTCCAAAACAGTACAAAGTGTTACCTAAAAAATTCTACAACAACAAGCAGGTAGATGGGCTCTCACACTTTAGGAAGCTGAAATCAATGGACTTGGAACATTCTTCTCAACATGTTAATGCAAGCATATGCCTTGCCACTGAGAGTAGTGAGATGTTTCAAATCCAGCAGACTGTCTTCTCTTAAACAATCAAATAACTGTATAGACCATCCAGAGTGCAATTACAATCATTCCAACACCGGTGGGAAAGCTATTACCTTCTGTTGCACTGCAAGAAGTACCTTCTGCTCCTTCTTCATCTTCTTCATCTTCGGAGACTTTCAGTCCTGGCTGTTCTGTGTCACCTTGATGTAAGCGGAACTCGGCTTCTGCATCAGATGGGATGTCATCTGATCATTAATTACACAGGTTGGGTGGAGGAGGGGAGAAAAACAAGAGATCTTGAATATAAATCCATCAAGACGTATTTATTATTTTCACAATCTTTCATCATCTTTTCTTTCAGTTCACATGATACTAATCACTGTTATCCTGAACACCTAAATGTTTCACTTCTTTTCCGTATTAGAGTCATTTAAGCAGTAAACGATGGATCATTAATCAAAAGTACTAAATAGATAGTTAATGTCATAGCTTCTCAGTTTTCTGGAAATTTTTCAAATGTTTTCTGGCATATGAGTTCTTTCTGCACTAGCAGGTGAAGATATTTGGCACAGTACTATGACCTTTTCACAAATTTACTTCTATTTCTGTTATTTAGCAGGATTAATTACTGAATATGGACACAAGACTGAGCCCTCTAAACAGCAGATGGTGAAAGGATGCAATAAATTTATTCTACGACGTATGGCACAGAGGCTCTTCTGTTTCTTTTTGTCCTTCACTTATGGCTCCCCCTCAACTATTTGGAAAAAAATTCTACATCACTAAAAATAAGATTACACTCAAGTACTCCCATACAACGGATTTTCTACCAATACAATTCTTTTCCCATAACAGGTTCAAATGATGTACAGTGGTACCCTACCGTCATCCAGCTCTGCACCCGTGTCTCCCTCTTCACCCGCCTGTCCTTCTGTGTCTGCAGGCTCTGTGCCCAGCTCATCCTCCACATCATTATCCTCACATGGAGCTAGAATATATTCAAATATTGAGAGAAAAGAAAAAAAAATCTATACAATGAAAAGGGTATACTCTAAACTGCACTGCTTATTCATAGTGGATATATTTATTGATTACTGCCAAAACAAGAAATTCTGAAGTGTGTCAGCTGGAAGCACGTATACTGTGAAATGATACTTTCAGACTCCAAGAAATCAAGGAGTGCCTGCCCCTTGGGATTCTCTACTAATTTTTAGCATTGGAAGCAGACAGGACTTTTCTAAGGAGCTGGCCTTGTGTAAAATTCAACAAGAAAGGCACTGGGAGGCCATCAAAACAGAACAGTTTAAGGTATTTCTAGCATTTTTTTTTCTTTTCCAAAGCAGAAGAGTTACCATCCCTTTATTGCATATGTGTATTAGGTGAAGATTGAAATCTCACAATGTATCACAACTGTTCGTCTAGAAATTGAAATAAGCTTTTGAGGGTGTAAATCAGAGACAAACAGTCTAGCTCTAGGATTGATCATTATTACATTTGGAAGCCGTTTAAAGCTGTGCAGCTACAGTACTCTTTGGTAAAAGGGTCTAAGAGATTTGATATGCTGTATGTTAACTCAAAAATCAATAAAGATATTTTTAAGGAAATAATGAGATATTTAACATTTTCATTTTCTGCTACAAATCATAACGTGGTTTGCTGGGTCCAAAAAATGATAATATTCTTGAATTTATAACCCTGAAAAGGGCATTTGATGTTAGTACTCATGACAGGATTTAATTACAGGGGAAAAAAGGAAACTAAATTTCAGTAGTAAGTGATACTTAAATAAAAATAATTAAAAAACAACTAAGAAACACTGAGTCATCTCTAATGACGGAGGGTGATTCACTAGATTTTTTTCGTTACACATTCTCATAGTATGTTATAATTTCAAACATAATTAAAATATTAAAAAGCACTTTTTTTTTCCCACAGTAGAATCAATCAACTACGTTTTTGGATTTGTGCAGCAAGTTAGCATCAGTACTTGTACAACAACACGCAGACATAGAACTGTTGTATCTCCAACTACTGCAAATGCATACGCAGTCAGCGAGTGTTACTATGCGCAATGTTTGCTAACTATACACATAGCATCCGGTCTTATAATGATGACAGCCTTCTTGGTCACCCATTTACCAGTAAACTAAGCCTTGCAGGCCTCTAGACCTGCATGTATACAGTGTCATACTGTCATTTCTAGGAGGTCTCCTGGCATGATCCCTGGCAGTTAGTTCCCTGTGGCAGGGCTGGAGGCTGTTTCCAAAATGAGCCCGGCTGAGGTCCCCTGATTCTGGACGACAAAGAGGTTTAGCCACGTGGGAGTGAATCATGCTGTGCCGACTTTCTTCAGAGTCACAGAGTGGGCACCGATCTTTTTATTTACAAGTGAAGATGTGGCATCTGGAACCATTTATATGCTAGCATTACTAATTATGACAATCTTAAAAATAAACCAACCCTCCCTAAAACTGAAGTCTTACAGCCTCTCTTCTTTATCTAACACAGGTTTTTGCTTATTTCAAAACACCCTTCCATGGATGGTTTGTCTTATGCCTTCAAGCTAAGAATTTCTTTTTCCATGCTTTTCCCCTTTGTAGTATTAAGACAGACAAACATCAGGGTTAACTTGTTTTCTGTCAACTACTGTGAAAAGGCAGTTCCACGTATGTGTGATAAAGCACTGGCTTATTTCCTTACGTCAGAGGCTTATAAAATGCAGAACCTTACAGAGCTAGAGCGTAGGAGACTGAGTCACGCAGCAAAGGCTAAACTTTCCTCAGGGGCATATACAAATGTACTGAACAAAACAAACTGTGCCCTGGTCTGCTGGTTGGTTAAGTATGCACTAACCTGCGTTGTTTTGGAAGTAATAATGTCACCAGATATTTTTACGATAACAACAAATGTGAACAATCTTAATCAAAACCTGCAAAAATGTAATTGACGTTAGGAATATCTGATACTCCTATGTACACAGGTCTTCGGATCCAGAAACCATAAGGTGATATGACGCACATAGGGAGTGATGGAAGGAAAAAATCAACTCTTAAACAGGTTGGAATACAAACCTCAACAGAAGATTACAGGTGCATAGATGAGTAACAACTCAGTGCAAAGGGGATCCCATTTTGAGGAACGTGGAGAGCTTGCAGGTGGTTGGTTACATTATACATATACTGTGCATATACGTATACGCAGTTAGGATAAGGAGCAAGAGGCCAAAAGCTGTCACACAGTAACTGAGAAGCTACGCACTACGGCAGCCAGAAACTGGGATCGGCATTTTGCTCGTATCAGCTAGCAGCCATCGTGTAAACCACTGCTGCCTTGCCAAAGCAGCAACAAAAGCAAGGTTTTATAGGTGAGCTAGCTATCCTCATCTGCCAAAGCAACTTCACTGCAGATCAACTACATATCCACAAACTACTCCTGACTTCCACTGCTTTACACAGCTTCGCACCCTTACCCTGATGCCAGAATCACTGGTTTTGTAACAGAGCTTAGAGAAACGCACAACAAAAGCAACTGAGCTCTGCCATCCTTCAGCTTTCCTGAGGCTTTCTTAAGTATGGGTATCCCCAAGTCAAAGGAGACATAACAGCCACCACTACTCACTCCTAAAGATCCCAGCTTCAACCTTAATCTTTCCTGTTTTCTTCACCAGATAGCTAGTTTGTAGTTGCTACAGGTAACTGCAGCTGCTTTCAGCAAACTGTCAGTTCATCTTTGACTGCAAGAAAGCCCCATGTTCTTTTAGTCAAGGAGCTAGGGGAGTACCGACTGGTCCAGTTTTCAGTTTACAAAGCAAATCAAAACACTCAGCTAGATCCCTCCTCCTCCGTGGTTACACCAAAGATAACCTGTCTGTTTGGCCTGCCTTCAGAAGGGTTACAACACACGTCGAGTTCATGCAAGAACGGACTGTCTGAGCAAGGCGTGCATGCACACTCCCTCTGCCTCCCTCCCTCCCTCCACTTCGTCATGCAGTAGCGACAGGGCCGTAAGTCCAGGGTTAAAGTACCAGCTCAGCTGCTGAAGGCATGGAGAAGAGACGGGCAGGGTTATTGTGCATTGGAATACATAGAACATCACCAAACTACCTCCAGGGACCGTCTCCAGCCACGCCTGTACCGCCTCATGGCGTACGGAGGGAAGGTCGGATGCTGAATTTAAAAAACAATAAATTGTAAGAAATCAAAATCAGACCATCAGTAAGCGTCTAAAACAGAAGAGTGACAAAGGGAGATTTTTCAGCAGCAAATACAGGAACAAAACACATGAGATGTTAAACAACCAATTCCAGGCTTGGGATTTAAGTTGAGATAACAAGGGCCAAATCTTCCTTTAGGATCTGCTATGTTAGAGGAAATACAGGTGGCATAGTGAAAAAAATGCAGCATCTGACTAGCAGGTTGCTGCTGCTGTGCTGCACTCAAAACTTTGTACAGGAAGGTAACTAACTGATGGAGTTGAGCTGCCGGGGTTTGGATGCCAGCAGGCGAGGAGCACCTAATGAAGAGTACAAGGGGCTTCTATGTACTGCCATTGTCCTAAACGTTCAGATCAAACCTCATCACCACCTCTACTCTGATAAGCTCTCCAAAAACCTCTTATCATGGCTCATCCAGGAACAAATTTGTCTACTGAACTCAGACCAAAAACTCTGAGCGTGTCCAAAAATGCTTATTTGCAATGCTCCTTTTAAAAAACAAACTGCTGATATGCCTGCACGTACCTGTACTGTGTTAAGAGTGTGATTGAAGCAGCTATCTATTGATCAGGATTTTCCTAGCTTAGCCTAGTTTGAGGGGAAAAGAAGAAAATATTGCTTGGCTTCCCAAAAGAAGCTGGAAAGGTGACAAAAATCATTTTGGAAGGATCAACACGGGCTTTCTTCTAGTTTGCCAGCACAGCTGTACCAATACACTATGGAAAAACAGGAATTATAAAATGAAAACTTAAAGAAAGAACTCAAACTATAGTGTCACAGGCCGTCGAGCAGAAGCTAAAGCAACCTCAGTTGCAGTAAGCTGATGAAACTGTGTTAACATTTCCTTTTACTTAGTGTTCTTAAACTTTAATCAAGTACTTGAGGAATACTGAATGTTACAGGCAGTGGAACACAGCCTACTTCTCACTGGTAGGGAGCTAATTTCACACCAGAAAATCCCAGTGCAAACTGCAACTGTAAGCCTAGCTGACCTGAAATGGAACTGTGTATCAAGTTGGACCATGATTTAAACTAACAAAAAAAGAAAAAAATAATAAAAAAGAAAAAAATAATAAAAAAAGAAAAGCCATCTAGAATTATGAGGAAAAGATGATTAACTGGAATGGAATGTGATCAGGCAGGATGAAGTAAAGCCCTAGGCTTCTGTAATTCAGATCAATCACGAACATTTCCTGTGGAAGACACCCCTTTTCATAATATACTTATTTCCCCTCCAATTCTGGTACAATGCTTATAGACTTTGATAGAAGACCACCACACAGTGACAGCATCATTAACCTTCACCAAGCTTAGGTTCTGCATAGGTAAAGCACCCTATGACATACTTACCTTAAGACACACTGTAATATAGTCTAGAACAAGGACTGTAGAGACTGAGAGAAGGTGTTTATAAAATGGCTAGACTGTTGCCAAAGTAGGTATACTGTCAAATCTTAAACACAAGAAGTCAAAACAACCAGTGGTCAGAGATGCAAGCCCTTTGAACTCCATCATTCCCCAATAACACCAGATGAACTTACACAATTTGAGAACCAGCAGTGGAGAAACAGGCCCAATAAAGAAGCTGACCCTGATCAAACTTTGCTGCATTTTGTATGCAACATTATCCTTTAACTTTCCCTAAAAGAGGAATAGAGTCCTCACTGCCACAAAATCACACGGCACCTACCCCTAACATCAGTTACCATGGGCTGATTACAGGTACTACCAAATCTTGTGTACAGTGAGGAAGAATCCTATACAGTCAAAGCAGGCACACAAACAGTCAGAGGAAGTCACCACCACCAGAGAGCTGAGGAAGCAGTCATTTTAAGTGGGCAATGACCTGAAAAGCAAAATGTTTAACCAAGTGCAATTTCAGAAAGTAGTTCCTTTGGATCACGGCTGCCCCTGCTGAAGTATGCTGCTCTTCAAGGGCACAGAAGCAACAGAGCTACGCAGCTGCAACTGTGATCTAGGAACGGATGGCATGGGACAGGGGAAGATTACCTCTGGAGGTAGAGGACTTTGAGGTTGGCACCATTTTTTCCTCCTCCTCTTTTTCACGGATGTGTGTCCAGTGCACATCTGCCAGGATCTCCAGAGGATCAACCGGGTTTACAATCTGCTGCAGCCTAAGGTTTCCAGCTACCAGGAGGAGGACATGGCATACCAGAATATGGGCAGGGTGGCATGGAGGACAGGGAGGAAAACATGGGACAACAGAGGAAAGGAAAGGTAACACATCATAGGAAAGGAAATAAGAAAAGAAGAAAAGATAATATTACTGGCTAAGACAGTTTTCAAGACAGGCAGAAAAAGTTCAGCATTGTGTGCACACACTAACACAGCGCTCCTCAGACTCCCCATCAAAGCTGAATGCCATTCCAGAGGCAAAGAGATGCTATTAAAAACTCCGTTGTAGACTATCTCTATTGCAAGCAGCTTCGCTGAAATGAAAGACATTCTCTGGGTGTCCAACAGATATGTGATATGTAAATACTAATTTAGTAGAAATTTCCAGCTCCTTCAGCCTATTCTTCATGATTATTGCCAAAGACATCTTGCTTTTAAAGGCAAAGAACAACTAGTAGTTTGATTCACCAAAACAAAGTCTTTCATACCCTACTATCAGGTTAAGTATCCCTTTCTATGCTGGGTAAATATCTCCTTGTGAATTAAATCACATGATGAATCTCAAGAGTTGCATTTGTATGTATATGTATGTGCATGTGCACACACAAGCACAGACTTTCACATTTAAAACAGCACTTTGTGCACTCCTGCTAATTTGCACAAAATGGGTACAATTCAAAGGGTACAATTGTTTTTCTGAAGAATATCATCATTTTCATTATAACTTAACAGCACCTCCACCTCCCCCGAAGGGACTTCCTGTTGCAAAACTGAATCTGTTTAAAAGCTATTGCGTTATTTCTCAGTTGCCTGTCTACACAAAGCTCAGATATTGCTAGTCAAAGGAAACAACAGGCACACCACTAAAGCAACTGATAAGCAACTTGCTTAACTGCTGCAGAATGTCCATGCTGGGAGCACCTAACCTGAGGTGTGTATTATATTGATAAACCCTGTCTCTATTGCTGTCTGTTCTGGGACTGTTGCTCAGGTTTTATTTACCCATATTAAAATAACTCATTCTACAGGGGACAAAGTGTTCAGCATCTTCAGAAGTGATCTTCAAAAGCAACTGACTCATCTTGAAAAGTAAAATGCCCATTTAATTTATAAAGCAATAAGTCAATTTTCAAAACACACAGATTACCACTGTGTAGGGCAAAATGCTTTTTCAGCAGTTTAAAGCCTCAAAAGCAATTAGAATTTCATATGTTGGATTAGTGTTTGAAGGAAACAAGAAGAATTAGCATCATTTAGAGGCTGCACTCATCATTTTCTGATGTCTGGTTTTAATGAAGGTCCTCTCTCGTGGCCATGTTTTCCTCAGTCATGGCAAACAGTTTGGGACTTCTGCTTCAGGAATGACTGTGTGTGACATTTGCCATTAAAACTGCAGAAAAAAAAAAAACAGGCAGAAGGAACTGCAGGAAGGACAGAATTGCCAGCTGGTCACTGAAGAGGAAAAGGGTTCAGACACACAAACTCAAATGCAGAGCAGGATTGACAATTTAGCCAAGTATTTAGCGTTTTTGTCTCTGTTACCTCATCAGAGAGTTTCTTATCAATCAGCACAACCGCACGGTCTAACCAGAGCTACTGGACATCTTGCAGGGACAGGAGTCTGGGCTTTTCTCACTGCATACCAAAGCACTCGCATGCAGGCCCCAAGATAAGTAGAGTTAGCATTTGCATTGCCACACAAAATTTTGTGTTAAAAGGTTTAGGTTTGCCAGCAATGGCTGAGAAGTATATAGTCACTCAGCAAGGCTAGAAAAGAGCAGGTCCCACATGATCTGTATGTTTTAAAATGGATTTCTCTGGGATTTAGATCAGTGTAACATACACACCATCGGTTACCCTGCAAGTCTCCAGACCGAGGCCCAGGCCTGTCCTGGTTAGGATATAGGCCCTTTTCACCTTTTCCAGGAAATAAATAGCAGCTTAAACAGTACAGCCAACTGTGAAGGACTGCTCCTTGGCTGACAGGCAAACGTAACATTTTGTTGAGATCTAAATGCTTGAGAATTTCACATGACAGCTCTGTAGCCCTTCCTCAAGACTGCCTGCTAAGCTTTACAGGATGCTGGACATTAATACCACTTACATTTGGGAAGGTAGCCTTCCCCTGCAGTTCCTCTGTGGCACCTACCAGTGCTTCCTAAGAAGTGGGCAGTCTCAATGGTTAACCTTCAGTGGAACAAGAAGCCACCCACAAACCAATGCCTTGGAGGCCAGGTCTAGAGAACACTAGCTGCTACAACAGGGGAAACTTCTTCATTTATGCTCTTTAGCCATCTTACTAATACTTCTCATACTTACCACCAGAAAAGTTAATTTGGAAAAAAAAAAAATCTCTTTTCATTTTTTTTTCCCCTTGGGAAAAAAAAAGTCAGAAGCTAAGCTACTGTTTTTACAACTGTATGTTGCAAAACAGGCAATCTGATGACTGGCTATGCCATCTTACCTTCAGGAAGGCACTTGGATTTTCCTCCTATGTATTCTGGCTCTAATGAACCACATTGAGGGACTAAGGGATTAAACAACTATTAGAACCAAGTGCTTAAAAAAAAAAAACAAACACAAAACAAAACCACAAAAAATAACCATCAGAAATAAACTGAAACAAAATGCATTATAGGAAAACAACACATCTAGTTAGATAGGAATGTTAAGCTCATTTAATGCCCATTTTATGACTGTAAAATTTGAGGGATCTCCACAGTTTGATTAGTGTCCCCAACAGACTCTCCCCACGGAAACACATTCACAAAGGACAATAACAAAAAATGCAAGTTTGCTCACACAGGCAACCCAATAGCAGCACTTCTGATGTGTCCTATTTGTCTGACCTATTGCACAGGTAGAATTAGTCTGTGCATATGGACTAAATCTGGAACTCCTAAATATGTGGGGGTCACTGCTCATGCTCATTACACTAACAAATTGTCCAGGTTTTCCAGACATCCTGAAATACTGGGAAACTTTATATTTTTCCTAAAAGCAGTGGCAATATCAGACCCGATATATGGCACTTTGATCAGGAGATGAAGGTAACAACAGCTATCGAATCGGTTTTTAGAAGGCTGGTAATGCAATTACATAAAACACGGAATCTTCTCATGTGGGACCTGCTCTTTAAAATAGTTCCCCCTGCTTAGGGGAAATGGAAGTGGAAATGGTATACGGGTACCTTTAAATGTACCCGTGTCCTCTTCATTTGAGAGACGTTGAAGCCAGAGACCTTGCTGCAGCTCTCTCTCCCAAGGGCAATACTCCCCCTCTACAGCAGAGGGAACCACACATCCATAACATCACATCAGACACACGTGTGTACACACAAGCAATGGTGAGAGAGAGAGAGAGAGAGAGAGAGAGAGAAAGACAGAAAGAAACAGAGAAAGGACAGCATCAGAAAGACAGACTGTCTGGAAATCCCCCAAGACCCCTTCTTTATTCCTGCTGTATGGCAGGAACACTGCTCAACAGAAAAAACATTGGCCTGAGAACACCAACATTTACCAAACTAAACATGCATGTTACCGTACTTAAAAAGCAGTCTCGACTTTCACAGCTCCTACGTTGAAAAAATAGCCAAGCAGGCTGTTGAGCTCGTGAACAAAACTGGCACTAAGACCCAAAATAACAGGACCTCTGCTTGCAGCAGGCAGCCAGAGACCTTTGTGAAGAAGCTCTTTGGAGTCTACTATTCTTCACAAAAGGGAAATGTAAGTACAAAGACAAAGAAAAAGACAAGATCAGTAAGAAAACTGGAATGGTGGTGAAACACTGAAAATGTCTATTCTTAGCACAAACTGCATTTGGATGACTGAGACAAACACACAGGGGAAGGAGTCTTTCCCTAAGATTTTCCACAGACATCCCTCAGAGTGAAAATGAGAATCCCCTGAACTCCCTGACTTCTCATGGAGAAGGGGAGAGCTAAAAGCAGCTTCTTCGGGCATGCTAGGGCACTACCCCTGAGTGAAGCACCCCACAGCACTGAAAACACTGCCTCCACAATGCTTCTAGTTCTTGCTGCCAAATAACAAAGGGCCTGTTCAAATCCAATTCCCAATAATAATAATAAATACCAGTAAAGCAACACATTGTCACAAAGCTGGGAGTTGCACATGTTGGCAGGGTATATGGGAAGCATACTGTGTTGGTACTAGTGCTGCAACTGCCCTGGGGGGAAAAATCTTCTGGATCCAGAATGACCAAACCAAAGCTTCCATTGACAATAACTCCCTCAAAAAAGAAAGTAATACAAAAGTGAAAGGAGAAGTTTTCCAAGGAAAATCTTTCTTATTCTGCATGGCAAATACGCAGTTCAGTTTTCCCTGCCGTCTAGCAGAAAGAAAGGACAAATCAATCTGTCTAACCTTCACTAGGACTCTTCTTCTTCCTCCTCTTCCTCCTCCTCATACTCCTCGTCGTCCTCCTCCTCCTCCTCCTCTTCTTCTTCTTTGTACTCAATCTCATGATTCTCCTCAGCCTCAATCTCTTCTTCACTCTTTCCCTTCAGGAGGGCATGGATGCGCACAGCCTCTTTCCATGGCACACCACCCAAATCTGAAGGGGGTTGCTGAGGCAGCAGCAGTTCATCTTCATCTTCATCTTCTTCCTCCATTTCAGACTCTGAACTACTGCAAGGGTTTAAAAAAAGATAAAGAGACAAGTAGCAAACGTTTCCTAGATCAGTCTTAGATCACTCACAAGTCATTACAATAAACAGAAGTCCAAAACACACAATGCAAACTGCAATACTTAATTTTCTGCTTTCAGTATTTCATAGGCATTACAGTGACAGCACAGACTGTGGCCTGTAGTATGATCCTTGCCCTGCTTTTTTTTTTTTTTTAAATGGGGAAGCAGCAAAAAAGTGTTTGTAAAGCCATGTCCAAATACTTGTGCAGTATTAATTGTTACAGGCGTGACCATACTTGAATATCGTAGAAAGAAGTGACTTTCCTAATACCACATTGCTTTGGATAAACTGGTGCAAGAGTGCTTGGCAGTGTCATATGTAAAAGGTCACATATTTTGATAATGGCAGCTTCTTCTAGCAGTTTTGGATAGCTAAGATGTTTTTGGCACTTGCTGGGGACAACCACAAGAGGCTTCAGGAGTAGCAAGATCACATAACACAACTACCAGGTGCCAAGCACTACGGCATATGAGCTACGGAGAACAGGAGAAAAAAAAAAGCAAAATTCCTCACTTTTCTACATCACAGATAGAATCACTGTACATGTATGCACTCACTTAAGTATACAGTGTACATAGTGGTAAGAAATTATAGGAAGCAGTTAAAGGATAATTACAATATTGAGCTTATTATTTGCACAGCAAAGTCTAAAACATGTAAAACAATAAATTGTTAGTGCTTATTAGACATCGCTGTTCAATTCTAGCAGTTTCTCTGTATAAGTAGCAGGGACAAGAAATGTAACTGTCTACACAATGACATTTAAACTAGCTCACTCTGACATTCTGGACTACGTAGAGATATCAGGGAAGAAAGATGGTTGTATTTGTCACTGGAAAATGAATGTGAACCATACCACATTCAGAGAATGCATCTGCAGGGTGAAAAGGTACCCTTTCTTTGTTTTGTCTTAATAGATCATTGTCGAGAAGAATTGCATTTATTAGAACAACAGTTGGATAAAAAATAAGATATATTTCATATAACTTGTACAGTTGTTGCAGTTCTGTTTCCCATACACAAGGTTTTTCTTACATAAGCAGTCATTATGTGACAAACTGACACTTTACAAAAAATGACACAGAGCAGCGCCCTTTCTTTTGTATTGCAAATAAACATATCCAGGCTCAGAACATCAAATTACTCTACCACTACATGAATATATAATGTTTCTATAATTTTATTAATCTGTTAAACGAGAGACTGTTTTTGATAGCAATGTTAATAAGGAAAACACTTTTTTTTCGTTTTCTGATTTTCGTGTATTTATGTCCATTGGCTCTTAAATTCTCCTCATGGTTCTGCACATATATAACATGATTTTGACAAAAGTGAAATGTTCAAGTTATAACCCACATTTTCACAGCATAAATCGAATACTTATTTTTATCAGGCCACAGTAAAAGCTGAATACGAATGCTGTTGCATGCAATGGACTTGGTGTGTATTCCAGGAGACTGGAGCATTTTCCAAAGGCTTTACACAGATATGCTCACAGAGATAAAAAGTGATGTTCCCTCTCTCCCTCCTCCCCGATTAGCAGCACACTTTCCTACCCTTTAGTATGGAAATAAACCTGACAGGTGCTGCTGCTGGCTTTTTCATGTGCTGTCAATAAGGTTTACTGCTAGTCCAACTGTTGCCATGACTGCTGAATGGGACAGCGAGCTGCTGCTCTTCAACCAGCCCGCTTATCTCATGTAATATTGACGACATACATTCTTTACCACATAGCTCACTTTACCTTCTTTGGCTTTTATTTATAACCTGCTTTTTGTTTGACCTTCAAATACTGAGAAATGAGAAGTTCAGAGGCAGCAGTGAGATGGCGTGGTATAGTGGGCATTCCTTTCAGCTGGGTGATTTTCTGCCACAAGAAATAATTCAACAGCTGACACTTTTTTTTTTTTCCTTCTATAAAGCACTGATCAAAGACTAATGTTGGTTACTTTATGGAATTTGGATAACCAGTTGAATACCTCTTTAAAGAGATGTTCCTACACAGATGTAGTGCTGAGGAAAGGAACCTAAACTGGAAACGAACCTCTTCTATTCCTTTGCCATACAGGTCCCACACAGCATGAGCTGTCCTACCACGCTCTTTTGAAAGGTCGCTGTAACAGAGTATTAAACCAAAACTGCAGATGACATTCTGAAAGTTACTGCAAGTTAAAGCCAATGAAGGCACTTCCTCAGCTCGCTTATCTCATGTAATATGAGATCAAATGCTTTTCTCAAATGCTGTGTAGTCAGAGTTTGGTTGCTTAAATGATTTTTCTTCTTGAGGAGTTGATGCCTAAGCAAGATTAACTCTCTTTTGAAAATATATCCTTTGAATACTGATTTCTGTAAAATTTCTCTGCAATGTGTATGCCCATGTGTACATGCATGTATGTGTGCAGGGAAGCTGGGCACCCAGCCTGAGTCTGATTTGGAGTTCATACCGAGGTGAACCTTGAAGCCCAATCCATTGCTCCATAAGACACGGAGTGAACAAAAAGTCCTGCATTTCCTCAGCCTACTCCTAAGCCCTGCAGTTCTTCACCGAGACAGTGAAGATGATCAAATCAGGGCTTTGCTTGGCTTGTTGCAGGGGTATTTTTTTTCTGTTGTTGCTGAAAAAGTGGTGACTTTTTCCTTTTGTTTTCTGGTCTTTCTGTGAAATATCAAGGAGTGGATACGACTGTACAGAAGATAACAGATAACTATATCATCTATAAAATTCTCTCTTTGAATGTTTGCCCACACAGCTTTATCAATGCTGTAAGTAAATTGCTTGCAGCATCTGGATTTGGGACAGATTTTTTTCCAAGTCAAACTGACAGGCAATTTAGTAACTTTTCTCCTTCCTTTCTATAATAGAGTGTGAATTGCCCACTAAACACTGCTTTGCACAAGCAAAATCTAATAATTCAGTCTATTACAGACAGAAATACCTAGTTCAATTCAAGTTATGAAGATGAACATATACAAAGACAGCTAAAGGTAGCAGCTTATTAAGCTACAGAACCTAATGGTGTAGGTATTCTCTCCACAGTTCTACAAAACACCTCTTGGAAATGATGAAGAGCTTCGTATCCCAAAATACCAAAGTTCCAATTTTTTTAACTCTCTTCTCCTTTGGAAATTTTCTGCCATTCACTGACCAGGAGAGTTTTGATTTATTGACCTACAGAGTTTTGATTTATTGAAATCATGACCAATAATAATAGGGCATCATACTAGTGAATTTTGGTTTAGAGCTATAAACATAAAGGACCACGAACCTCATGATATTATTAATGCCTAAACTGTCAAAACTGATATAAGTCCTAGGCCTGAGCTGGGAGCTAAAGGAGGGATAAGTAAGGAAAACAGAGTTTGCATTTCCCATTAAAAAGTCCCATGACTATTCAACCAGACACTTCCAGTTCCCAATTGTGTAAAATATGTCAAAATAGCATATTCTAAAGAAATTACTATGTTAAGAAATTAACCAAAGAGTATTATTTAAGTTTTGGAGAAAACTGCTGTGCAAGTTATTAGCAGTTCCCAGACCCAGAATGTCCCATTGAGCTACATCTTCATGTATCCAAATCTACATGCTCTCTGTCAAGAGTGTTAGAGTTCAGGCTATTAGTAGTTAGCTTTCAGATGCTGCCCCTTCAAATTTACCTTAAAAGATATATAAATGGCAGATTCTGTTCAACCTAAATCCTGTAAACATTTTAATGAACATAGCTCCATTCTTCACTACACCAATTCAATTCAGTTCAATGTCACATGCGTGAATATAAAGAATTTCTTATACAGCCCTATTCCTGTAGGTAACGCATTCACTGAATATGTTTGTAGGCTCTAATGCTGCTACAGGCTTATCTGAGTTTACTTCAAGAAGACTACTGGGCATTCTGAAAGCTAAAAAGATAAGGGTTGTTATTGCTACAAAGAAAAGTAGATTAGAAACCACTATTAAGAGACTGAGAATTAAAAATTGTGAGATTAATTATAAAGTTCAGAAGCATTCTTCATCAAATATTCTCTCTCACTGATTCTTGCAGCACCTATTTCCATGAGCTCTACTTGCAAATACTTGGATCCTAATATGTTTACACATCCCTTTGCAGATAAAAGAAAATTTGTAAAGGTGCAATATACTTTTCAACAGGCAAAAGTACTGCTTCAAACTAAGGTCTGTTAGGCTTTCCATCAGCAGTCAGTCAGGATTACAATGCTCAGTGTTTCAAGCTTGAGTCTTTGAACTAAAAATGTTATTAAATTGTGATGCAAAATAGAAGAAAAGTTAACTTTAGGAACCCACTCCCATTTGAACCTGTGTTCTGCTTGCTCAAAAGACTCATTTGTCTTTAATATAATTTTCAAAATAAATAAATAAAATTTAAAATTTCTTTCCAATTTAGGACTGAACTACTTAGGACTGAAGGTACTATAGTTATCCATGGCATTATGGTATTATAGTTATCTTCTAAGAATGGTAGTAAGTTATTTAGAAGAACAGAAACTACAACGTAAAATATTTGTGTACATACGTGAAATACTTCCAAGAACTTTAGGAACAGCAACCTGGCAAACAATATGTTAAAGAACAAACCAAAAAAAGCTAAGGGAACAACAGGCAAAAGTCTGTTGGGACCGTTATAAGAAAGCTTATGGTCACTGTGTACTAACCTGCTGGGCACATCCTCTTCTGTTCCTTTGTCCAACACACTGCTGAGGTTATGCTCTGCTAGCGTCTCTTCAGGAACCTCTTCCAGTTCTTCTTCCCGCTGCAGCGACAGTCGGTAATTCTCCAGCTCAATTCGCTCGGGCGTGCCACGCAACCGCTTAGCGAGGCTGGGCTCTTCCAGCCCATTTACATTAGAACCTAAAGAACAAGTCAGTGAATAAACAATAAATGCAACAGTCAGGACTGTAATTTTTTAAGGAAATTGAGCAAATGGGATAAATAGGGCTTGAGGCAGAGGGACATAAATAAAGCGAGAGAATACCTTATGTCATTATCCTGTTCGCCACTACTGGCAGAACCTCTTGGGGAGCCAGACTGCAAAAGGGATCTTAGTGTTTTTGGCTAACAGATGCTGAAAAGAATGTTAAATGTCCTAGTTGAGAGAAGACATAAGGATGTTTTAACTGCGCTGGAGCCTACATCATAAATACTGGGGAAGGCCTGGCCACAGGCTGGCTGTATTCTCTGAGACCACATAGGAACGCCTGGGGGCAAGCCTGCTGCATGGTGTCAAAACTTTTACTGGTCAAGCCAGGTAGGTCTGTTAGAGTTAGAGAGTGAGCAAGTATCACTAACACTTAAAGATGCTGAGTGGGAAGGGATGAGAAAGTCCCATTTGGAGTGAGTTTTCAAACTTTTTTGGATTTGAATTTACTTTTTAATCAAAGTTTGAGATGAAATGAACCACAGGGAAAAAAGTAGGTGAGATGTTTGCAAGCACGAACATTATGAGTCCCAGAGACTTGTAAGGGCATGTGAATCAGACATTTGGAGAAAAGTATACAGAAGTTTCATTCACTGTAGCACTCAATTAATTAAATTCTAACCCACACTCATCTATCTCTTTTTAAAATTCTAGTATTTTAGCTTAAACAGCAAGCCACTGTTTACCCTTATGCAGCTTACTATTTACTGAGCCTAATCTTTCCTAGCTTCTGTTTTGCTACGCTAAACAAACCGAGCATTCCTCTCATGAGATAAGCTCTTCAGTGCACTGATCACCCCCTAGGTCTCTGCACCTGTCCCTGTCTGGATTAATCTTTCCAGAACCTGCGTGATCAGAATTGTACACAGCTTTCCAGATGAGGTCTTATCAGTGTAACATACAGCCCTGCCAGAAATCTCTCATCTGACACACCCTGAGAACACATTTGCCTATTTATATGCCACATAATACTGGTGGCTTTTGTTTATTGACTGATATTCAGATCTTTCTCCTTCTCTGCTTTCAACTGATAAGCACCTTGCTGGTAGCCAAATCACTTTCTTGGTGCATGACCTGGTACTTTCTACTATTACATTTCTATTTTTAATACTACAGTCCATAACACCATGCAGCTCTTAGTGTATGACATGCTTATCCTCCTCTGCATTGATGAGGGCTTGAAATATTGCCCTAGCAATAAACTTCATTAGCAGATTTTTCCTTTCTGGCTAGTAACCTTAGCAAAAGCAATACAAAGATCAGTCCCCAGATCTTTTTTTTTTTTTTTTTTTTTTTGACACTCCATAGTCTGTGGGTGTTACCCAACCCCAGTAATTCCATTTTGAGTAAAACCTCTAAACTCTCTTAAGCCAGCTCCTCAGCTACTTGACACTTCATGTACTACCCCCACATTTTACCAGCTTAAATAATTATTTCCACATGCCAGCTTTCAGGTACTTTACTGAAGTCCAATTTTTGGATGCACTGCATTTCCCTCCTGGAGGTAATCAGTTACTTCATCAATACCAGCTGTCAGGCTAATCTGGCACGGCCTGTGGTGAATCCATGTCACATTTTATACCACTTACCTTCATGAGGTCAAAAGACTTCATTTGCAGAACTAGCAGTCCTTATTTATTCCCCTCAAATAAGGTGCTTTATCTGTTGTTTTGATTAACAGATCTGTACTTGTTCAGATCATTTTTTTTCCTTTTTTTTTTTTTTTCATGTGCACGTCATACTTTTGTCACCCAGCAGCAGCATTACTCTGAATTTGATAGTCAGGGTGCATCAGGATAGCCCGATTTAAACATACATTGCTACCAAAAAGCTCACAATTTCACTGTACAGTTTTTCCAGTTTTCTGAAACACAGATTATTTGGTCTCATTTTACTTCCACACATATAGTATTTATATATTTATATAAAGTATATATCAAATATATAGTATATATTTAAATTTTGCTTCCAGCTTCATTGGGTTAATTTCCATTTCCAAACCTTGCTATATATACACTAACATCTTTTGCTCCCATGTTCAATGCCAACCTCCCAACTGAAATCGGAGGCCAAATATCCACTTGCTATCCTGGCTGTCCCTAAAACCGCATTTAATCTCAGACTCATCCTCTGTGGACCCACTTCTGTTTTTCCTCATCTTGCTTGTACTTAAAGAATACAGCTGCTTGTTTTCCTTTCCTATACAAATCTGAACCTAGCACAAGCTTTGGCAACATTGATTTTATCCTCACATGTTTTGACCTCCAAGACAACTTCTGTTTTCTTTCTCTGTTCTTTGTAGTTTATCAGTTTATTCCTGTAACAGCCCTTATTCAGGACAATTATTCACCCAGTGACATCTCAGGTAAAGGACTACCTAGGCCTTGCCATAATTAGTGGCGTTAATTTCAAATCCCTCTCTAGAAAGATAAAATCTCATGAAGACAACTGCCAAGAGTGCTCTTCCCTCTTGCTTGAACCTTTCTATGATGTGGGCAAGTGGCTGCTGTGCCCTTGGCTGCAACTCCCAGGGTTATTTATGGTACAAACTGCGGCTTGCTCAGGTGGAAGGAGGGAGCATTACCTTCCATTTCCAGGCACACAATGGTCTCTACCGTTTCCTGCTGCTAAGCCTTATGTTGTATTAGTCCTTTCAAAGTTCAGTGGAACTGAACTGCCTCCTCAGCTGGGATTCACATTTCATTTCGTTCTCTCTGGATGGTGATACCACCTCAGCCAAATCTATTTTTGCAATCTGTGTTACATTCCCCAGCCCTGAGTTCACAGTAACAGGGGAACTGACCTGGAATATTGCTCTGCCAGTTCTGGCTGACATGGAAAAACCAAGGACTCTGGGTAATGGAAGAACATCAAGGTGAAGCAAAACAAAGAAAGAATTCACCAAATCATCATAAAACGAGAGTTTTTCTACTTGGAACTTTTTACACAACACAGCGCTCAGCTATTTCCAGAGAAATACCTTTTCACAGACTGTTTTTAACTTGTTCTCTTCTGATGCATACCCCAACATAGCTGGAATGTCCACAAGCAGAAAAAAAGGATGAAAATGAGAAGAATGAGATTTTTTTTTTTCATCTGACATTATTTCATTCCTCTGTTTTTTTTTTTAACAATCATAAGGTTTTTTGTTTTTTGTTTTGTGTGTGTGAGTGTTTTGTTTGTTTTTTTGTTTGGTCAGCCTTTTCAAAGAAAAGTAAAATACATAATATCATTTTCATATAATTAAATCATGTGAATGGAATATTGGAAAAAAAAAAAAAAAAAAAGAGATGCTTGTTTCACTGCCTGGGCTGGGAACAAAGACCAGTAGCAATAACTCAATGGTAAAAAAGGGCTGAAAATCAAGCTGACATCTGTTTATATGCATTTCACTAGCATATATAATCTTTCAGGCATGTTATTCAATAAAAACAAGTTATCATTAACCTTCTAATCATGAAGACCCTGTATCAGTATAACATATACAAAGAGAAACAAACCAATTCTGCCACAGTATAAACAGTTAAGTGTGGGCAAATGAATCAATAAAACTGTTAAAAATTTGAAAAGATGGAAAATCTATCCAAACTTAAAGGTAAAAGGATGTGGTCAAGCCAGGATATCCCATAAGCTTGGTAAGGGCTCTCTGTCTCAAAACACCAACAAAGTAAGAAGAAAATTCCCAGCAACTCTCAAATCCATGTATATATCTACACACTTCAGATGCAGGACTGGTCACACGCCTCCGCCTTACTTTGCACATAAACCAGCTCTGCATTGAGAACATAATCCAGGAGCTCAACTGATTACCAACATCAGCAAGGGATCTTAGAAGTCTGGTCTATGTGAACAGACTGTACACAAGACTTGGATTTGTTTCTAAAAGGTGACATGAAGGCTTATCTGGCTAGTTGCAAAGCCACTGTCAACTTTGTTACCAAATGTGAAACAGGAGAAATGCTACTAATAGCCAAATGAAGTCGTCAACTATCAAAAAGAAAGCATTACAGTCCACAAACCTAGCTAAGGGACAAAAGTAAGCAGAAGATATAGGTTTAGTCAACATTACAAAATGATGAACAATTTCTCCACATCATGCTATAGAGTTGATTCATTCGAAGCTACCAAAATAAATAAATTGGCAAAGGGAAAATTGTGGATGTCCTACCCTTATTTCTTCTAAATATATATGGTGCTGTATGTATGAAGCAAGGTCTATTTCAATGCAGTTCTTGTAGATGCTAAAGCCTTGCTTTTTAATGTTCCTCTGGAGAGGAACGGTCCCCCTCTCAAATTGTCATGCTGTATTCCCCAGGCTATTTTGTAGCTTGCCAGTGGGAAATAGCTGCAGAGTACATTCATTATCCATTATCTGACATTCCACCTTGTCAGTACATTTGGGCCCAAGGCCAAAAGCCTGAAATCGGTCACAACTGAGAGAAAAGGGGCTGATGAGGCTACATGTGCCAGAAAGATGCTATGTTATTAGCTAGGGAGGGGAGCTACCTGAAAGCCAAGAGCAGTTTCTCATGCAACCAACAGATCAGTTAAAAATCCACAAACAACATCCAAAATAGGATACATTTTAAAATCTGATTCTTTACTTTGGAAGAGCAATGGGCCACAAACATTACATAGATCATCCAAATGGAACTGTTTTTCCTAACAGGATGGGCTGCTTAGCTGTTGTGTGCAAGCTGCCAGAGTCCTTTAATTATTCTCAGCCTTGACATGGCCTGCCTCCTGTAAAGAAAGTCGCATGATCAGAGATAACATTCCTACACTGAACTGCTCCTTGCCTTCCTGCATGCGTCCTTTTCTCCATCCTGATTTCAGCAACTTTGGAGACCACGGGAAGGTCTGAGAATCTCCTCTTGTGAGAGTATCCCATCTCTATTTTTCCCCGGATTTCTATAAAAACTCCAGATTATTC